TTTAATTCCTTTTTTTGGTCCAAATTGGAATTCAACTAATTTAGTAAGTAGCAAAAGCGTGTTTTAAAAGAAGTGCAAACGAGTTGCACAAAGCAAAGCGTCTTGGAGATCATGGGGATACGTTATAAAAACACAGTTATAACTAGCCGAAATTCTATGGAGCCATCTATTTACACTCATTCATCGAAAAGTACATGAAATCGAACGTGAATTGAAAGCTAAAGAGTTCGTGGGTGCCATATCATAATTTCTGAACAAAAATGGACTTAAACTACCACATGGACTGTGAAGTTTTATAACGGAACTATGCATATAGGCAAACCTAGCTATGGATAAAGGTTTCGAATTGGTCCGTGCAAACTATGGGCGTGGTAGAAACGAGATTTTTTTGTTAACCATAGCTAATTTTGGTGGTATGACTATTAGTTAGTGAGGTGATAATTTTATATTAAAATTATATTTAGAATAAAATATTTGAAGTTAAGTTGGTATAAAAGTAGGAGACATGTTTTGAAGTGATGATTAGTTAAAATTATGTGAGTAAATTAATAGTGAATTAAAGTTATGGGGAAATGCTACATTCCCGTTACGGAACCATTCCGTCGGGGTTTGTAACCGTTAGATCATCTATCCCCGACAGTTACATAATGATCTAACGGTTACAAATCCCGACGGAATGGTTCCGTAACGGGACCGTAACATTTTCCAAAGTTATGTGATGTATAAAAATAATTGATTAATGTTGATAGTATAGTTGAGTTAAAATAACTTTAGATATTTATGAATTTAGCATGGATTGAAATTTTTTAACACCCATAATGTTAGCTAGCTACTCAAAGAATATCTCAAAATTAGAACCTCAATGATTCAAATCCCATCAAATAATATATAACTAGCTCGCCAAAGCTCAATGGATAAATTAAATGATCATGAATTTAAATAAATAAAAAAACTTTGATAAATCAAACCAAATTAAACTTAAATGCTCCAAGATTGAATCTTAATCCACCATACACAGCTACTTTAGGGTATAAAGAACAGAAATCTGTTACAGAAGATGCATAATTGAACACATGTATTGCAGATGCTAAAATAAACAATGAACAAAAATTAAATGGTTTGTTTAAAAAAAAAATAAATAAACAAAAATAAAAAAATAAACAAAAATAAAAAAAAAAATAAAAAATTAAACCATGACTTAATCTCTGGTGAGTTTGCAAATGACCAAGCTAACTGGTTAGCATCCTCTCAGATGCTTCGCCCTACCGTTTGACCAAATTTTCTAATGGTACCTGCTCAGTTTCTCAACAATGGCTGCCGTTCCCGATGATGACGTGTTATGACCCCCATTAGCCGCGTGCTCCGGCGATTCCAGCAAACCGCCGCCGTGGCTCCGCCGTGGCATTCTCGACAAGCTGAGTGAATTAGAACCCGAGTACCCGTCGGAGAGTTGAGAGTTTGCATCAGGGTACGCCCACGAGCTGCACCCATCGTCATCCTTCACCCCAGATTCAGATTCAAACCAATTCAAATTTGGGGACAAAAATTTAGGGAAATTAAATAATAGCAAAATAAAAATCAATTGCTACGGTTCTCTCCAATTTGGGGGAGAAGTTACCTCAGATTCAAAGGCGATTTCACGCGTCCTCTTCGACGAGGAACGGGAGGCATTCTCCTCACGGCTGGAATAGCTCGCCGCCGCCTGCGGCGTTGCAATTGAGCCGGAATCAGACCACGGAACGACTTGATTCTCCCCGTCCTCCTCCTCCGCATCCTCATCCTCATCCACACTAGAACCCTCGGTATCACTGAAATACTCCCCGTCGTCGCTCTCGCTCTCACTCTCGCTCCCCGGCGGTCCGCTTGAAGTGCCGAGGCCGCCGTCCTCATCACCCCTCCGGATGGTAGATTCCTCCACCCGGCGGTTCTCTCCGTCGCCGACGGCGCAGCCGCTGCAGACGGAGAAGGCATGGCCGAGCCTGAGGCCGGCGGCCTTCCACGGCGTCGGGGAGTAGCATGCGTGGCAGAGAAGCGTCCGGGAGTGCTTGGCTACCAGGAAATTGGCGGCGTGGACCTTCTCGTCGCAGTCCCAGCAGAGACTGGCATCGTCGGACTCGCAGAACATGCGGGCCGGGCCGCCGCAGAGCTCGCAATCCTTCCTTGACATTTGATGATTATGAAAACAGGTACGTAGCAGATCGAATATCTGTTTGAAAATTGAAATGAGTGTGTGCGTGTGTGGTGTGTGCCATGGATTTATATAAAGAGGGAGAAAGGGCTGAACGGTGGTGACTGGTGACGAAGGCGACACGAGATAGGTGTGAGGGTATAACGGTAAATCCAGTCTGAAACCGCCTTATACTTTTGCTGTTATCCCAGGTAACCGCCCCTGGTTGTGGATTTTCAGTTTTATCCTTAATCCCCTCTATATATTAATCCAGAACGCGCTGAGCCTACGTGGCTGTTTCTGGTGCTTCGTAATCTTATGTGGAAAAATTACATGTTTCGTTATAAGGCTTGAGTAAATTTTAATTTAATTTCAAACCAAAAATAATTAAGTTCGGATTACCATAAATATGTTGATTATTTATGGTCATGTTACATTTATTAATTGCATTTTAATATAATTCATTATTATAACTATTGAATTGTATATATATTTTAAAAGTTAGTAACTTTTGTATTTTTTATCAGTTTTACATATGTAATATATCAAATTAATCTTCTTTTGATGAGCTTCGATTTAACATCCATATTGTATGTATAAAAAAATTAATTTATATTTTTCTTTATAACAATAATAAAATTATTTTTATATTAATTAGAAAATTAAATTATTTATCAACTAATATATTTATATTTCAAGTAGTTATATAATATAAGTTATAAAAACTAATATAATATAACATATGTAAGTCATAAGTAACACATATCATTCTAAAATATATAGTAATATATTTTTTTATAAAAAAGTAAACTAAATTTAATATAGTTTTCTCATTAGTTTTAAAATTTAAGAATAATTTTTTGACAAGCACCCGTGTAATACACGGGTGTTGTACTAGTAATAATAATATTTGTTATAATTGTTAGAAATGTGTGGAATGAACTACTATGCAAAACTAGTAGATATCCTATACATGTGCACATGTGTTGTGCACAGATGTACATAAAATATTAGTAAGTAATATTTGATAATTTAATATTAAAATTCTAGATAATGAACATATTACATTTACACATATTTGATCATTAGGAAAAATAAATTAACAATTTTATTATTATGAATAATTGTTTATTACCATTAGATAATAACAGTTTGATTATTATTATTATTAAAAAAATAATTGTTTATAAGCTTCTAAAGTTGTTTGACTATGCTATTAAAACAATTTACTAATTGTTTTTAAAGAAATTTTTTCATGAGATAGAAAAGAAAAAGATAATATTGATGTTAATATAAATAACTTGAAACAATTGTTTATAATAATGTAATTTTTATTTATTGTGAACTATTATTAGTTGGTATTAGCAATACTTATTATATTATATAATAGAAAAATACATGATTACACTTAATAGGATGTGTTAATGTGAGAAGTAAAAAAATATTAATGATAAATTTTGTAACTGAAAATAGAGGAAAAATTTTAGAGGTTTTATTAAATAGGTAAAATTAAATGCTAAGCTAGCAATTATATATATATATATATGTATATATTATTAAAAAAAACAATTATTTATAAGATTCTAAAGTTGTTTAACTATGCTATTAAAACAATTTACTAATTGTTTTTAAAGAAATTTTTTTATGAGATACAAAAGAAAAAGATAATACTGAAAATATATAACTTGAAATAATTGTTTATAATTATGTAATTTATATTTATTATGAATTATTATTAGTTGGTATTAGCAATAACTATCCTCCCTATATATAATTGCAGAATGCGCTGAGCCTACGTGGCTGCTTCTGGTGCTTCGAAATCCTATTTGGCGAAGAATCATGCTTCGTAATTAGGTTTGGATAAATAATATTGATATATTAATAATTAATAATCTAGGTTCGGGTATTCCATAAATATTATTTAGCTAATTTAGGTATTTTAATATCACTTTTACTAATATAACCCTTTAATTCTTTGTAATTTTACATAGTGAGGCACTAAGACTAATATATCCCTGGATTTTGATTTGTTTCCTTCAATAAACTATTGAATTATAAATGTATTTTAAAAGTTGATAACTTTTGTATTTCTTATCGGTTTTACATATATAATATATCAAATTAATCATCTTTTGATGATCTTCGATTTGACATCCATATTGTATATATATGAAATAAATAAATTATATTTATTTTTATAATAATAAAAAATAATAATATTTATTGAAATTCATTAGAAAAATAATATTATTTTTCAATTGATATATTTATATGTAATGTAGTTATATATTGTAAGTTAAAAAAAATTAATATAATATAACACAAGTAAATTGCACAAATAAAAAGTGTCATAATAAATATATAATAATATATATATTCTTATAAAAGATATTCAAATTTTCAAACTACTTTTTCTCATTAATTTTAGATTTTAAGAAAAAAATTATCAAACACCCGTGTAATACACGGGTGTTGTACTAGTTATATAATATAATAGAAACATACATGATTACACTCATTAAGATTTATTAATGTGAGAAGTAAAAGATATTAATGACAAATTTTGTAACCGAAAATGGAGGGAAAATTTTAGAGGTTTTATTAAATAGGTTTTATTAAATGCTACATGTCAGCAATTATATATATATATATATATATATATATATATATATAGTGACATTCACTATTGGAGGAATGGGCATATTAAATGAGGTATGGGGAATGAATAATTTGTGTAGGATTGTCGGTAGAATTTGCCTATAAAAGGCATTGCAAATGAAGTGAAAAATTGCTCATTGTAGAAGAAGAGAAATATTCAGTATAATTTATATCCGGTGTCTATTTTGTGTTCTTTATCTTTCCCGTTTTTATAACACGTTATCAGCACGAGCGCTCTATCCGATCAAGAAAGGTAGGAATATACTAATTATATATGTATGTATATATATTACATAAAATTAGTATATTTTACTGATATACATATTACCATTATTCTTGACAAGTAAGGCTCTGCCATAGTCGAGTATATGTGGTATGAATATACTAAATATGACATTATTTACATATTACCATTATTATTGGCAAGTAAGGCTATGTCATAGTCAATAATATGTGGTAAGATGATATTATTAAATTTATTTATGATTACTACTAATTATGATGTATAACTTCAAGTTATAATAAATAATATTACTTATACTTAACGCCCACAAAATGGTTTACCCAATAATGTGGTGTGAAATTTATAACTGCTTATTCTTGTACCCACCGAAAGATTTATCGAGTAGTGTGGAGTGACATTTTTATTTATTTTGTCACTTATATTCATTAAATTGTTCACATAGTGGCTCGGTGAATTTTTAAGATAATATACATGATTAATTCGTATTTTATAATCATGAATAATTAAATAACAAATATTATATCATTAGTTTGTTCTCAACGGCTTCATAACGGCTATATTGCAACGGCTACATATCAACTTATATATATCACACTACACTTCATATATTAACGTCCATTCCAAATACTAAAATATATTTCCCTCAAACGAAAAAAAATAATAATAAATGTTTCATCTACTATTTATAATTACCATTATATTGTTTATTTTTTACACTTTGGGAATTTTCACGATGATGTATCATACCACTGAATTTATACTTTATGTATTAGGTTTTTGTATGATGTGTCTCTTATTTGCTTTTCTGTACGTTGTGGAGAATTAATGATTGTATAATGTAATTTTCTCTAATCTAAGCATTGATGTTTTATTTTATAGTTATCATGGCAAATCTGGTGAAACTCGAATTTGAGGCTCTTGACATTTCGGGAAAAAATTATATTTCATGGACACTAGATGCCGAAATTCATTTGGCCGCGAGGGGATTGGGAGAAACAATAATCTCCCCAAATAATTCATCAATACAAGATAAAGCTAAAGCAATGATATTTCTGCGGCACCATTTGAATGAGAGATTGAAAAATGAATACTTAACTGTGAAAGATCCCGCGAATCTTTGGAAAGCTTTGAAAGAAAGATACGATCATCAGAAAACAGTAATTCTCCCCCGGGCTCGTTATGAATGGATGCACTTGCGCTTCCAAGATTTTAAAATTGTAAACGAGTTCAATTCAGCCATGTTCCGCATTTGCTCGGTATTGAAATTATGCGGGGAAAACATAACTGATTACGATATGCTTGAAAAAACGTTGTCCACATTCCACGCTTCAAACGTACTTTTGCAGCAACAATACAGAGCAAAAGGCTTTGTGAAATATTCTGAGCTGATTTCTTGTTTGTTGCTAGCCGAACAAAATAATGAGCTGTTGATGAAAATTCATGAATCTAGACCCACGGGGTCTACTGCGGTCCCTGAAATAAATGCTGTAACATCTAAACAGGGAACCGGAAATGAAAATAGCCAAACAAATATGCATGGATATACCTCAGGACGTGGCCGTGGTCGTGGACGTGGACGTGGACGTGGCCGTGGATATGGTCCAGACAGAAATTATGGACGAGGCCGAAATTTTTTCCCAGGATACAAATCTGGCCGAGGTAATTATCATGGACATGGAAAAAATGATTTTCAGAAACATTCTGAAAATAATAAAGGGGAAGCTTTCAAGAATAACGATGAAAAAAACATGTTATCGATGTGGTAGAAATAACCATTAGGCTCGAAATTGTCGAGCCCCAAGGCACGTGGTTGAAAAATACCAAGATTCCCAGAAATCAAAAGATAAGAATATAGAAACTAATTTTATGGTTGGGGAATCCTCTGAAAATGATGCAACGCGTGTGGATGATGACTATAGCATCGATGATATATTGAAACTGGATTTTGCCGATGCGGCATTTGAAGACGGAGCTGGAAATGACCTAGAGAATAACTGATGATCATGTTTTTATTTTGCTTTTTGAGTGGTAATGTATTTGTGTGTGAGCTACTTGTATCTGTACTTTGAATTTGATCAATAATAAATGTTGTTTTCTT